CGTCGGCAAGGACGTTCCTAAACCCACTGACCTCATGGCTGTCAAGCGCGACTACGTCGCTACCAAGGTACCTCAGTTCTCATGGACCCGTCTCGCTGGTGCCGATCCTTTCCTTGGCGTTGAAATGTCTTCGACTGGCGAGATTGCCTGCTTCGGCAAAGATCTCGTCGAAGCCTACTGGGCTTCTCTCCAGTCCACCATGAACTTCCGCATGCCCGAACCTGGTGAGGGTCTCCTCTTCGGCGGCGATACCAGCAAGGCCTGGTTGACCCAGGTTGTCGACTTCGTCTCCCCTCTCGGATACAAGCTGTATGCCGCCAGCAATGACGTCAAGGAATTCCTCGAGTCCACCACCAAGGACAAGATCAATGTCGAAGTCATTGAGTTCCCCAAGGAGGACAAGCGAGCCCTCCGTGAAGTCTTCCAAAAGTACGACATCCGTGGCTGCTTCAACTTGGCTGTTGCCCGTGGCAAGACCACTCTTGACGTTGACTATGTTATGCGCCGAAACGCCGTCGACTTTGGCGTGCCTCTTTTCATGGAACCCCAGGTAAATGAAATATCCCCTATGCTTCCCCCTTAGTTGCAATCGGTTACTAATATGCGTAGACGGCTATCCTCTTCGCCCAGTGCATGAGTGAAAAACTTCCCCGCAAGGAGGGTATTCCCTCTGAAGTCCGCCGCTGGTCCGACTTTATCGGCGGCAAGCCATTGTAAACCAATACAAGATAGCGATTCAGAAATACATGGGTTGAAACTAAAAATAAGGGTAGACACTGAATGTGTTGTCTGGTTTCTTTGCTACTTTTACTGTTGAAGATACTTGGAGTCCAGGATAGGTCATAAAATAAAAACGTTTCTCTCAGATTACCATTACTACAGGTTTCCCAAGGAAGTGTACAGAAGTAAGGAATGATATTATATAATATATCGTAAAATGTATTTATTTATATACGAATATCTAAGTAAATTTATATATAATTAGCTGCATTATAGTATGCTATAATATAATCAACAGTATGCTGGAAATAGCCCTTATAAGCTACTATGCAGCTATCAATAACATGCATTAACATATTCACACAACTTTACCCCTCAGACTAACTAATCGCATAGTACCTTTCAAGACCAATGGCTTGTAACATGGTGCCGAAGCAGCTTGACTCACTCCAAGAGCAAGCAAAGCTGGGATGCTCTGCCCCAGCACTTTCTCTTCGTTTTGCGATCCGCCACGCCTTCAGCACACCTCTACCTAATTATGTTATGCTGAGCCTAGCGTAGCCCATGGAGAGATGTCTTCCGCGGGCGTACGCCGCCGCAGGCATGGGAGGCGGACGAAAGCCGTTTGGCACCTCGCCATTTGGATTATGGCTACATTCACGGAGAATCTAGACTGTTTGCGCCGCGGGAGCTAATTATTAGTGGCTATTGAAGCCAGACGCGTCGCGGTTGCAGTGATATCACGGGAGCGGACATGCGACTATCATTGACCTTGGACATTAGGGCCACCACTTGCTTGATTATTACCATTCTGACCGCCAAGTGCTTCACTAGAAGCTCGGCCACAGCCAGATCTGTTGATACGTCGTAGAGCATGGGTCGAGGTTCGGGACATGGACAAATTGTCTCTGGAACAGCAAGGCTGCCACCTTGCTGGACAGGTTGATGTTTATCGCTAGTCTCCCAAGATCCATCGTCAGCCGAGCATCACACGGTCAGCTGGAATGTTTCTCTGCAGACTCAGACGTCTGAAGAACTCTTCCAAGCTACCGTCTGAGCTCTATATGCTGAGTAATATGCTATCCCCTGCGGTATCTCCGCTATAGAAGGGTAACCCAATTGAAATGCTACTGATACCTTGGAAATTACAGGCTAAAATTGGATCTAAATGTAACATGCAATGTGCCAGACATTATCTAGAAACCTGCAATGTGTATATTTGACTTCTACCTATGTAGGCGATTCACAATCCCAGCAGCCAATCAGATATCAACTCCGTGGATCATCCCGATCCGGAACAAACTTAAGCGTCTCGGTTCGGCGTCCGGCGTTCGTTCAGCCTGAAGGCAGCAAAGCGTTTAGTAAGTGGCTCACCCGAGTCACGCGCACTAACATGACGCGTCGAAAAATCATACGCAGAAGAGTCTGCCGAGGTGGTGGCATGGCCATCTCGCGGACGCTTGGGGAGTCGCTCACCAGTCGATTGCAGGATAGCCTGGAGGGTTTGCCAGCCTTCTGTTGAACGTAGTTGGAAAGATTCGGCGAGATCGTGTTGACTCGCGACTCGACACAGCAATGCTTCCTCATCCTGAAAATAGAGTCAAATGTGTCAGTGAACTAGGAACAGTAGCAAATATGCAGAAAAGATCAGAGAAAAAAGGACACAAACCTTGGATAGAATGCCCATTTGGTGGAGGAAGCATAGTAGATGAAAGTTGGAAACCTCTTGGCCGGTGTCGGATAAGTTGAGAGCTTTGGAAAGGGCAGAATGTTCTTGGGACTCCCCAATGTATTCGCGATTTTCGATAGGGAATCCTGTTTGGGTAAATGTTGGCTTCGGGTCTGCGGGGAAGCCATGTGTAAGAGTGACAAAGAGATACTCGACAGGGAATGAAGGTTTAGCGTTCTCTTGAACGTTGGCGCCATATTCATTCACCTTGCGATAGAATACTTCGGGAATGTACCGTGTCCGGCTGACAGATCCATCGTCTTCCTCCTCATCTCGAACCAGCATAACCGTCGGGTCGGCAGATGGTTCCACAATGTCAGCCCGCACCATCTCAACTGCTTCATTTGACATCTGGTATGAAGAGATGCCGATTTCGCCTTGTTCATTTCCCGTAATAATGCAAGTCACAAAATTGGAGCCATATCTGCCGGTGTCGCTCCATTTTGACGGCTTGGGGTGTTGTGCTTGTAATCTCGATGAGAAGCAAATTTCCAAAGACGATAAGAAGTATGAATCAGCATGGCGCTTGCAGACCACTGAGCCGTCGCCCCGACCCGCGTCCAGCAAATCTGTCCAAATGACACCGACAGGTTCTAGTCCACAGAGCTGGGCTATGTGCTCGACTTCTTTCTGGTTCCCCCAGGCGTTTAGCGTTATGCCGTCCAGTTCATCTACTTGCGGCGGCTCGTAGATGGCCTCCACCACAGCCTTGACACCAAGCGGAACTTCAGTGTATTCTGCGTACCGGCCATAAAGAAAACCAATTCTCTGTGAACCGGTCCTGCGCCATGCATCAATGAAGGAATCAACAATGGACGGTGATGCGAATTCAACATGGTCGACCATTCGAAACTGCTGTGGATTCAAGGTAATGGCGCTTGGTTGGCACTTTGTGCATACGCCTTCTGGCCACGGAGGATGGCCGGTAGGACAATCCCGTCGCACTCGGTAAAAGGGTTCCACAAGTGGAGGAATATAAGAGCTACCGAGCTCCGGCTTATTGGTTGAGGAGTTGATCTTTCTGAGGTGTGAGTGGAAGGACTGATATTTGATCTTCTTTTCGGCAAGATATCCAGGATCAAACGGATCCAGCGGTTGACAATAGTCACACATGCCTTTGGGTCCGTGTCGGCACATCTTGTCGCGGCCTCTGGGGATCTTTCCATCCAATTTGTCTAGCCGGTTGTCGAGCGCAGATTGCTTGACTACTTCCCAGGGCTTGGATATTCTCTCTACTCGTGGGTTGATTGGCATATCTTCTGTCGGTAAGACGGGCTTGCCGTTCAGTCTTCCGGATGTTGTCTTGGCCGAGTCATCGCCATTGGTAGCCCCGTTGGTTACGTTGGCGTGTTTGTAGTTGATGAAAATTAAATCGCCATGTCTAGGCAAAGGTCAGATCTCCATCCACATTTTCGTCTAGTTCGGTCCGTCCAGTTGTTGGATGGCGGTTTCAACATGCTTACTTGAGTCCGATTTGTCCAACCTTGAATTTTGCTATCTCAACCAGGACTTTGGCATCGCCTCCGTTTGGAGCATTTGACAGGGTGATGGTCTTGGGATCAACGGTGCTCGGAAGGTGTGGCAACAGCTACAATCATCACATTAGCGACTTGCATCGACCGACAGCAAAATCACAGCACCGACCTGGTCTCCCAGTTCTCCAAAGGTCGTTGTCTCCTCCACCGCCAGCCGGATCATGCCATCCGGCCCTCGTAGTCGCAACAGCATGACGGGCCACCTTCCCGATGCTGATTCTGCTACTGTCAATCTCGCCGAAGGCTCACCAGGTAGGTGAAGTGGTGGGGCTCGTGCTTCAGTCAAGTAAGCTCGGCACAGGGCAAAACGGTGGCAGGGAGAGCGAGTAGAAAAAAATTTCACTTCTCTAGGCCTCGATGGGTAGAGAGAAGGTGACAGCGAAGGGAAAAAGCAGGGTTGGCCAACTGTCAAGTTTGATGTCGAGATGAAGGACGGCGGCGTGGAAGCTCATCGACGTCGATGACTGAAGTGGAACCAAGCTCTGCGACGTATGGCAGAAGTACTCTTGGCCGTTGACCTCAGCAAGATATACCTAACGTTTGACCCGCCCACATCTGCGTCAATCGTCATTGCCAAAGGTGCCTGGTAATAGCTCTCGGAAGCCTGGAGAAATGTCGGGCCGACGTTATCCGTCCTCCAAGTCAGCAGCGCGGCTTCGCACTGCTGTCTGCCAACTGGCCACATGTGCAGATCTGGGCAGTGGACATGTTAGGCTTAGTGTCCTTGCCGCTCTTGTAACCACGGCTGCAATTCGCTGACCTGGAGCCGGCCGACCACAGAGGAGTCTTGCAAACCTTAAAACGGCGCTGCTCAGGCACATGGCCGCAACCACGAATTTAGCTTCTAGTAAGTAGCCAAGTGTCATAGTGAGAAGCTCCCACATGGTCCCATCTCTCCTACGTTCTTTTCCCACCAGGCATTTTTGCGACGATTCTTATAAACTGCCCACCCACAACCTGTCGTTGAGTTCTGATTTTTTATATCCAATCCTGCAATTCCGTAATAATCAACCACAATGTTCGATATCGACTGGGTGGGCCTCGCCCTCCCCTTTGCCTACCTGATGGTCCTCGGAGGCGCTCTCATGACTTTTTCGACCATTTACCGCAAGAGAAAGGCCGGTATGTCAAATCTTCATGTCTGACTCTACAATTTTTCCAAACGACGACAATTGCTAACCAGATGGCAGCCGAAAGCGCCAACCTGGCTCCCTGGTTCGGTCCCAATCTCCAGCGCAATGTATACCTCTCCCTCCTGCACATGGACCCCGAAGACGGCAATCAGAAATCCCCCCGCGTCCCCGATAGCGTGCTCAAGGCCGCCCTCCTACGGCGTGCCGTCGAGGACATCGATCGTTTGATCCAAATCAAGTCGGCGAAACAGGCGTGTAGCTCTCTGCTCCTGCGCGGCAGCGTGGGCGATGATTTGTGGCAGAGGTTCCAGCGTGCCGAGAAGGAGATGGAGGAAGAGTTGCGAGACGTAGTCACCGAGGTATGTTTCTATTTTTTTTTTTTTTTTTGGTTGTCCAGCTGTTTTCTTCAGTCGGCATCTCTTGTGAGGCTAGAGCAGAATACTAATAGGGTTTGCAGGCTAATGCCCTCGCACCAAACTGGGGTCCGACAATCTTCCAATCTGCCCACGAAATCGCCGCCAACACCCGTCTCCGTGCATCCCTAGGCGAAATCGAGGCCCAAAAAGCCGCTGAAAAGGCGTGGTGGGAGAAGCGCCGTGGCCAGATCCAGTCCGAATTCATGAAAGAACTAGACGAGTCGGAGAAGAGCTCGACCAGGGATGGAGCCAGCGAGGATGATGCTGTGCTCGTGGATACACCGTCCAAGGGGAAGAAAGGCAAAAAATAAACTGAAAAATAGAAAATTGTCAACCGGTCAAACCTGTGGTCGCGAGGCGAATGAACCAAGATAAGCGTTGGTACACGTCCCAGCACCCTTAATAAACGGGACTATCTCAAGAAAAGAATGATGGGCATTTGTAATACTATTGACCACATCATGAAGCCTGGAGCTGAGTGTATGCCATAGGGGGGGCATATGGGATATCAAGGACATGGCGTTTATGGCGCATAGGAATTGACAATTCAGTGCTTGATAGTGCCATCCGGCTGAGGCTGCGTCTCGTCTCGTCCCGTCTTTGTCTTGTGAATGTGCGATTTGCACTCTGCAATTTATTTGTTGATTGTGTTGTACTCTCCAACAGAGCCTGTAGTGCGCAAATCAAGGCACGTCTTCAAGTCATTGTAAGTTATCTCATGTACAAGGGGAAAGCGGTGTTTTCAAGCACTCGTGGTTGAAATAAAAAAACCAAAGCAGAAAACCGATGGTAATAAACAGGTCAATTGACTGATCTCAGTTTTCAAACGTGTACTAAGACCTAGATACAAATCGTCCCCTCCCAAAAGATGTAATAACTCCGATGCTGTGCGTTGAAAGAGAATTGCGCCTCCAGTATAAAAACGTGTCCCAAATACAAATGCGCACCGCTGATAGTGTAGATAATATGTACTTCAAGTCGAAAGATGAAAAATATGCCAACTCCGGTTTCATAGACATGAGACTCAAACAGCCGAGGCGAGGACACACAGCGTAATAGGGCGCATTGTTGCCCTCTGCTATTCCCCTGTCATCGCGATTGTTATTTCGTTCTCGTGTCGGTTCATTGGTCGATATTCCTTCACCAAGGGTGAACCTTTCTTCTCCAAGTTTCTTCTTGTTGGGCAACCATACTAGCTAGCCGTGACTCCGCAGCAATCTCGTCTTCTGATTTGAGCCATGCCGGTGAATCGCAGCCCCTTAAACCGATGAACTTGCCCATTCTACGACGCTTCTCCTCCAGAGAAACGTCAGAGCGCCAGACTATGGGACAAGGGTATTGCGACGTCCAAGGTGAGGGTGATTTCTGGTGGTAGAAATGAGCCAGGCTTTCCAGTTGCGCATCTGTCAACAGCCAAAACTGAAGAACAGTTCGAGGGAAATCTGGATGAACAGCGCCAGTGGTGAGCTGGACAAGAGGAGATAGTGGAAGTGCCATCTGGTGCAACTTGTAAGCTAAACCTGGGTTGCGTGCCAGACGACGTTGAATAAACGTCTCGCACTGGGGCTGTTGTGAAGGGATCATCTCTCGGTGCGTCATCTAAACGAGTTGTGTGCGCACATATACCGGGATCGAATCTCAAAGGCAATGGTGTCTCTGAAGCACAGGAAAACGCCTTTTTTTCAGGCGTTCTGCAAGCTGAATAATTGGTATGCTGCACAGATGTGGCTGGAATCAAGTATATGTAGTTCTGTTCCGCTTTTGCCCAATTATGCTCGAAATTGATATATCGAAGCGACCAATCTGCAAAGAGGCCCTACTAACAGACCCGAGCAAGGTTATAACTCTGACTTTGTCGAAGACGGCGATACTGGAGATCAAGTACAATGTTCTCTGATGCTTTGGGTGGTGATGGGCTAGGTTGGAATGTGAAGCGGTTTGCCGGATCCGTGCTCTGGCTGGTATGCGGCACCACGTTTGACTTTCCGTTTTCGCTCCTTCGAGAAACCTTGATGAGGCTCTATCCGCCGTCGAAGCGCTCCTGTCAGTAAACAGCCAATGTAACAAAAGCGTTAAATTTCCTGACTTCAGTTTGGGCCAGTAGTACACAACACTGTTGCACGTATGGGATAATAAAAGGAAGAAGCGGAAGTAGACGAAACCAATACGGAGTGGTATAAGGTAAGATGGAGAGGAGGGGGACCAGGCTGGTTATCAATGAAGTGAGACGAACTCGACTATCAAGGGTTTTATTGTTACATGCAGTGTAAAAGCGTCCCAGCCCTCTTGTATTAACCCTCACCGGCCCAGTACTAAATCGTCCTATGGTCCCGTTTAACCGCACCCGGCAGCGCCAGTAAAGCAGACTGACACTCAAAAGTCCTGGATTTCAGCTGTTCTCCATCTTGTATGAGCCATGAACCACCCATGGATGGCCGTGGCATGGGATGGCGCGGGGGGGCGTGCCTTGGTCTCCACCTCCTCCTATGTACAGACCATGATGGTCTCGCTGGAGCCGGGTCTAATGAGTTTTTCTGTGTTAGTTAGTTGGTACATGACAATCGTGTTGCGTGTCGTGCCAGCCAAAGAGATTATTAGCGACTGACTGGCTGGTTGCTGGGTTGTAAGTGCTGGAGCGAAATGGAGGCGGCAGGCAAGGCGCAGGCTCAAGCCAGTAGGTGCGGCACAAGCGGCCAACACATACAAAGCAGACCTGCGTCAGGGCCTATCGCATGGCGCACTGCGTACATTGACCAGGCCCGAGATGGGGACGCAGGTGCTATAGCTGGTCCTAAGGTGGCCCCTAGCTGGAGGGTACGAACAATGAAGTAAGGCGAGGAGAGGACTGCTGGTAAGGGCAAAGCGTGAACCTTTGTCTCGCTTGCCAGGGTGGCGGGTGCAGCATTCGGAGTAGAGGATCGTGTTGTTGGTGGAGACTCAGTACTAGCATCTTCGTGCGTCCACCAACATCGACCCCGGAACCCGGACGGTCATCATCATCGTCATGGTTCCTCGATGCATTGTTGGCAGCAAGAGCCACGCGAGTGGCCAGTCTTGGCTCGTTCTTCCCTTGCAGAATGGGCACCTTGTTATGATGCCCGTCGGCGAGCCCCAGCCTTGTGTATTCTGTAGCAAAACGTATGCCTGTACAGAGTAGTTAAGATACATAAGTGGACAGGGATCTGTCGACTAGAGGCAAGTATTCCGCAGAGTGAGTAGAATGCTAAAGAGGAAAAGAACATCAGCCGTCTCGTGGTTTATGCGACGGACGCAGTCTAGAAGTGAGACATAAGCCGGACATGGGGGTCGGGCAGTGTGTGGTTGTGGTAGCTGGAGGATTGGAGACGAGGTCCATGCTGGGTTGTATGCGATGGACCTTTGCTGGCTCCCAATGCCAAAGAGGAGATGAGCAATGAGGGCATACGAGTACGGAGTAGATAAGGGGAAGTAGAGATGAGGGACGGATCAATGTTGCAATATTACTTGTAGCTTGTCCCTGTCGCTGGCCAATGTGCCTTGCACGTCACCAGCTGCAGGTCAGTGGTTGGGTTATGGAGGACAGAGAAGCAACAATGTTGAGGCTGGGCCGGGGTCCAGATGTCGAGTCTAAAGATGGAGCATCTCTGCACCTGGCGAACACTTGGCTGGCAGTGCTGGGTGCTCCGTGGACATCTGGACAGGGAAGCTCCTTCCCGAAGGCGGAAGCGAATCTTGGAACGATTGCGATTGTGATAGTAACTGTCTCGAGGGCTCTTTCTCCCCCGGACAGAAGTGAATGCGGAGCCTGAACCCACCAGGGGTCCAGGACAAGAGGCCAACATGGGACAGACTCACTAAACTCACAGACACAGATGGAACAGGTTGGACTATTGGACCACAGCAACGACGACGTGCGACTGGTCCGTAATCAGAGACAGCGCCGAAGCCAAGGCAACTCAAACTGCTCAAGTGCCCAAGCTAACAGGCCCAGTCATCGACGTCTGGAATGTGACCAGCAAATCAATAAAGCAAGACGAAGCGAGACGAGGCAAGACGAACCCGAGCAAAGCAAAACAAAGCAAAGACGGACAAGCCCATCGACAGCAAACGACCTTGGAAGTACTCCGCACTACTATACGGAGTACCATTACTTCACAATCAATTACTTCCACAAATAGCAACTATTGCCATCGAAACACTAGCCCTATCCAGTTATCCGAGGCAGGATGAGCGAATCAGCTTGTACAGAGTGCCTCTCTTCCCTGCCCACGGCCGAGATATCGTGCCATACCAAGGTCGATTCGCTCCCTAATCTCCGCAAGAAGACCTGGACTTCGAAACGGAGATCCTCCCGTCTTAGTTGTTGCACGTGCAAGACATGGCCCGTGATATCCAACACAACATAGTATTGCATATTACCTGACTATTGCCAGACGAAATGGGATATTGCTCCGGGACACCTAACCCAGCCCCAAATGCACAGCGGAGGAAGCCAAGCCAATACATACACAGTTCAATGTGTCGATGCTGTTGACTACTGGCTAAGAAATGGCGTATGGACTGGTCTATACGGAGTACTACTCCATATACTCCGTAGTTGCGGTGGTATCGAAGACGCCATACTTGCATCCGCTTAATGTGTGCATTAGTAGCTATTTGACGCCGAGCAAGGAATAGTGCATTCGCGGCATTCCACATTGACCCAGCAGCACTACTTGAGAGCATTCGGTCTGTCGGCATCATGGGGGCACAACAACGGCCACCGTGAAGACATCATCAACATGACGAGCGTCAGGCAAAAACGGCAAAATCCGTCCATTGTCCCGCTCTACCCGGCCGTCACTTGTCCACATGGTCATAGTCTCTCTGAAAACGCAAACAATACGACGACATGGGTTGCTCATGACCCAACCCGTGAGCACTCACTCCGCTAGCCCAACGCCTCTCGTCCGAGACATTCGACCAGGTCAAGGCATCAACCATCGTCGCCCGAACCAAGTTCACACAAAAATCACGACGCACGACTCGCACAAATCTCACTCTGACTGTGTCTCCGCGTAGTCGAGCAAACAGACATTCGATCCACTAAACGCACGAGACTCATCAGCATGCTTGTCTCGTCTCTGCTGACTCGAAAATCAAAAGCCTCGCTCATCTCCTGGCAAAAGCCCAGTGCCCAAAGCGGGTCAAAATGTCTCTCCCTCACACACCAATCTCAACAACTCTGGCTTCTTTTTTTAGCATCCCTCAATTTCAGCGCTCCGTCAGATGTCTCATTTACTCCCCGGCATCACCCTCGTCCGCTGCTCAACTTCTTCTTCTTGTTCTCTGC